TGTTGGATAAGTGTTGTGTGAATACAGCTAGTACTTGGCACCCAAAGCTTGGATCGTGAAAACATAAGAAACTATCAAGATGATCCCATTTTCTATCCAAAGATCAGCCAAAAAGCTTGCATGAATGATATCAAAAACTCTTTAAATCAAATCACCAAGGTGTGCAAGACAGCTGTACAACAACAACAAAACTGGCAGCTTTTTGGATTGTCCTGAAAAATGGGGCTTTCTTCCTTGTACGTACCAGGCAGTCAAGCTGGGCCACGGGGGTCTTGGTGCCAGGCTGCCCCACGTCCCACACCTTGACACAGCCTTTCCCCCCTGTGTAGACGTGCTGGGTGGAATTGCTGATGGTGACGGCGCAGACCACCTCACCGTGGGTCAACGTGTGCAGCTGGCGGGCGTGGCGCGGGATGCCGGAACCGATCAGGGCATCAGGCGGGAAGGGCACCGGCTGCAGCTGTCCGTCAGCGCTTACGTGGAAGGAGTAGGCCCTAGCAGAATCAGAGAATTAACCACTGTACTTGGATAGGAAAAAATTCTCTTTACAGGTAGTCCTCGCTTAATGACCATTTGTTTAGTGACCGTTCAAAGTTATGACAGCACTAAAAAAGTGACTTATGACCAGTGCCCAAAGTTATGACCGTCACAGTGCCCCCACAGTCACATGATCATGATCTGAGCTCTTGGCAACCAGCTCACACTTACAACGGTTGCAGTGTTCCAGGGTCACATGATCACATTTGCGAACTTCTCTGCTGGCTTCTGGCAAGCAAAATCAATGGGGAACCGCATGATTCACTTAACAACCATGTGATTCACTTAATGACCATGGTGATTCATTTAACGACCACCACAAAAAAGGTTGTAAAATCAGGTCTGGTCACGTGTTGATTCGCTTAATGACCACATCACTTAGCAACCTAAATTCCAGTCCCAATTGTGGTCATTAAGTGAGGACTACCTGTGTTCTTCTCGTGAGCCAGTTTAATCCAGTGGTTTCAGTGCTGGATTAGGAGCAGGAAAACCTGAGTTCTACTCCTGCTTTGTGCTGGAAAACCGCTGGGTGACCTTGGGCCAGTCCCCCCTCTTAGCCCTAGGAAGGAGGAGGTTAGGGCAAACCCCTTCTAAAAATGCGACCTAGAAAACTGCATTTAAGGAAGAGACAGCTGGCAAAGGAGAAATGGGGAGCAACAATAGGTGATGCATCTCCGGCAATCTAATCTCGTCGGGAATGGGACAAACTAACTCCATCCAGTTAACTGTACAGGGGGGAACACTAAATCTAAGTCCATTGGCGTCCTTTGGCAGACTTTCGAGGTTGGCCTGGTCAAGAAACAGCCACCGCAGGGACTCCGGGAATGCTAGTTTAGTGTTGTAGGGCAGAATCACAGAATCTTCAAAGCCAGTCCAAGTTCCTCTTCAACGAAACCAAGGCTGGGTTATTCTGAGTTTCTGTCTCATTTCTGGACTGGGTCTCTCTTCTCCAAGTCCCTCCTTAAAGGCTTGCTTCTTCTTCGCCCCCTTAATGGCTCTCTCACACCTTCTCCAAAATCATCTCTAGTTTTTTTTACGCACTTGCCTATCTGGTCCCCCAAGACAAAGTGATGGAGAGAAAGAGAGTGTTTGTCAACCTTGGCCACTTTAAGATGCGTGGACTTCAACTCCCAGAATTCCCCAGCCAGCAGCTGGCTGGGGAATTCTGGGAGTTGAA